AAACCCTAAACCCGAAACCCTGGGAACTTTAGGTCCTGAGGAGGGGAGTCGAAAAGACGCTGCTCCACACGGCTTCCGTGGACTTCAGGAGCCTTTCGTTTGGGGGTTTGGAGCCTTAAGGGTCCAAGGACCCAAATAGGGTTTAGGGTTTAGGATTTAGGGTCTAGGATGGGTCCCTTTAAAGGGGGGTTCTAGGGGGATGTAGAGGGATATTAGGGGGACTATATAAGGGTCCAAGGACCCAAATAATAGGACTTTTAGGGCTGCTGAGGCTTAGCGTTTAAGGTATTGGGAGAGAGTGCTTTGGGCTAGCATATGGCTTAGAAGGATCGTGTGGTTTCAGCATTGGACTGCTTCTATGACTGTTTGAGACAGCAATCCGGAACCTAATCTCTTAATTGGAGCTCCTGCAACAACACCAACCAACCTTCAACCTTGCTGACTCACAGCTGCCTCCAGTCATGTGCATTGACACAATCATTAGGAACCAGTATATACCTGAAATTACATGGCTACATTCCCCCAATGCTCTCAGCTCTAATCCAAAAAACCATGCAACATCGTACTCCAGGCGAATGGGTTGTGGGCCCAAGGCTATGCAAGTGCCATAACTTCCAAGACCTTAAAACCTAGGACTTGCTAACTATTCATAGAAGAAATTCCCCAACCTAACACCCTCACCCCTAGCCTCAGAGCAGGCAAAAGCAAGACCTAATTCAGGGCCGGCTTGAGGGGTGTGAGGCTGGGGCTTGATTAGGATCCTATGAATTACCGTTGTATTTTGGGTTCAGCGCTCACCCAAATTGGGTCCTTGGACCCTTAAGGAATGTAGATGCCTGAGCAATCGTCTACGTTGTGGTTCTAAATTCATTGCATATTGGGTTTGAAGGTATCGGATTTAGGGTTTAGGCATATATATTTATATATGTCGTATGTAATGTACCTCCAATAAACAACAAAAATGATAGCGGCAAACCATGAACCCCAAACCATGTTGCTGTGGATTACTCAAGCCCTTGTAAAAATAGAGAGCCTCGCCCACCTAAAGCCTGAAACCTCACCCCTAAAACTTAAACCCAACCCTAAACCCTAAACGTTAAACCCTAATGCCCTAAACCCTGAACCCTAAACCCACAAACCCTGTAGTAGAGAGCTTAGCCTCCCCCTGAAACCTAAAGGCCCCCAAAAACCGCTGCGCCTCAATGATGCTTTGGAGATCTTCCTGGAAGCCTCCCAAGGCTCTCCGTTTTGAGGCTTGGGGTGTGTCATGGGTTTAGGGTTTAGGGTTTGTTTTAGGGTGTAGGGTAACTTTTCCCGCTCTTGCTCCCATGGGACTCTGAGTCTGTAGATAATGCCTACATCGGGTCCCAAAATCTACAAATCGAACCTTGGGCTATTTGGCGCGTGAGGGGTCCGGAAAGAAGGGATGGTAAAGAACATATAGGGTTGAGGGCTTAGGGTTTAGGGTTTAGGGTCTAATGGAAAAGAAAATGGAAACTACTAGATTACGGGCCGTAAACGGGGGCTCCTTTGGGCCGTTGATCATATACTTCCCCAAAATCCATGCTACAATTTACTACTACCAAAGCCCCAGGACTCTATACCCTAAACCTTAAACCCTATAAGCCCTATCAACCCCTGTAAGGGCCCTTGGGTACATGGACCCTCAGGATTCAAACTTAGCACCGCCTCTCAGGTTGATGATAAGAGACTTTCCAGGCGGTCTAGAGTTTGGGGGTTTAGGGTTTAAGGGCTTAGGATTTAGGGTTTAGGGGTTTCAAGTTTGAGGGTTTAGGGCTTTAGGGTTTAGAGTTTCAAGGTTCAGAGTTTAGGGGTTTAGGGTTTCGGGGTTACAGGGCTTTAAGGTTTCGAGGTTCAGGGTTAAGGGGTAAGGGTTTAGGGGTTTAGGGCTTGGGCGTTTAGGATTGAGGGTTTAGGGGTTAGAGGTTTAGGGGTTTAGGGGTTTAGGGCTATAGGGGTTTAGGGCTTGGGCGTTTAGGATTGAGGGTTTAGGGGTTAGTGGTCTTCCGAGATTAGTGGTATCTTTACAGGGGTTCTGGAGGATATACAAGGCTATCCAGGGTTGTATCAGGATGTTACAGGGATCTCTGCGGTTTAGGGCTTCCCAACATCAGGGCTAACTCTGGGGGTGGGTCGCTTTAAACGGATAATTATAGCATTTTGGAGTCTACGTTGGGGCCCTGATTTAGGGTAACTACCCTAGTACACTGAAGACAAACGAAAACCTAGAAACAACAGTACTCTACCCCGCCATTGCTCTAGGTACGGCTATCGGGGCATACGCACCGCCAGCTCCCGTCAATATTTCCGATGTACTTAATGGACAGGGGTCCTTATTGAGAAATTTCTTAGGGACTACACTAAACTACCAAACTTTGGTAGCCTGTGCCAACCCTTTTCACAAGGGAACCCTTAGCCCTTTGTTTTCATCCCGAAGCCTTCAGCCCTACAGTAAAATTTTGCTTCATACGAGCAAGAACTATAGTATATATCAACAAGAAACGTGGTAACCACAATAATATCACAAAGTCGATCATGGTAATAAAGTCTGAAGCATTTCACAAAGGTCACGGATTGCGGAGTGGCGGTTGAGGTCAGAGGCTTCCATACTCTTGGACGCTTGGGCATGCTATGTATAGAGTATCCCAATGACCCCCGGAAGGACACTGAACATCCAAAATCCTGAGCCCAAAGCTGAATGTTCATCCAGCTTAGAGGGGCCAAGCATCTCCAAAAAGCAGGAGAAGGGTGATATAGGTGCCAACATGGGGCACTGTCCGACCTTACAGGGCTAGGTTTGAGGATGTAGCTCTGTGATGTACCCACTTGGCATATCTCTGCTTCACGGATTCTACGACGCTATCCTAAGCCCTAAACACTGAACCCTGAACCCTATGAGCTAACCCTAAACCCTAAATCTTAGCCTCTAAACCCTAAACCCTTGCAAACCCTAAACCCTACACCCTTTCAACCCTAAACCACAATTAAGTGTACTGTGCAAGTCTTGGCAACCCATCTACCTTGGCAGAACCGCCGCAGTTCCATGGTCGCAGGCTCGCGTGCATGGGAGGGGTCGTCAGTGAGGACCTCCGCGCTTGAGGTTTTAGGGTTTAGGGTCAGGTTTAAGGTTTAGGGTTTGGGATTTAGGATTTGGGGTCTAGGGCTCAGGTTTAGGGTTTGGGGTTTGGAGTTTAGGTTTAGGGTTCAGGGTCTACCCCATCCTGAACTGACAATCTGAGAGCCCTAAACCGTAAAACCATAAAGACGACTGCCTGAGCCCCAAAAGTAGGTAAAATGATAACCCAAAAGGCATTGTTTTACATATGTTTGGGGTTCAGGTGTGCTTTTCAAAGGAGACTTCTTGAGGTTTCCTGCTGAATCGGGAGAGGGTCGGGGGCTTCCATCGGCTTGAGATTGAAGCTCAGTCAAGGTTGGCACCTCGTTCATGGTACAGGTGAGGTGGCTAGGTTGAGTTGTGGGGGCTGGCTAATTCTAAGCAAGCCATCCGTACGACTGAGGCAACGATATAACATCACTGATGTAGAGGGCCTTAGGCCCCAAGCCACCACCCCACCTACTTTGGGGGTTCAGGTAGGCTTTTTCTGAGCTGTGCCTGAGACTTCACAGGTCGACAAATGCAACGTGACGGAGAAGATCGAATGCGTAAGTCGCGTAGACATATGCAGAACTTTGTTTACGTGGGATGGTGAAGAACCCCTCACATAAGGAACCTACCTGGAATAATGGTAGGATTCGTGAGATGACTTCGCATTCGGGTATGCTGCCTAATTCAACGAATGAAGAGGACTTGGGCTCACTGAGAAGCAGGAAGCTGAATTACTTAAGCTGGTTTGTTCTGCCCAAGCATGCGGGATATCAATAACCAAATCCCTCATCCCTAGACTCTGTTAGCCCCATCCCCAGTCAGTCGTCCCAGCCTTCGCGAGATGGTTGCAGAAGTGGATGAACGGCTTCACGGACGGTGATCGGACAGCATTGGTCAGAGCGTCCTGTTTACAGCGCAGGTCGGATGGGAGTTTGACTCAGAACGGAGGTACATTTTAGCCAATGGGATACTAAACCCTACATCCTAGGATGCTAAACCTCAAACCGCATATCATGAAGAGATTTCGGGGCCTGCCTTAGGATGCCAAGGGGAGGAAGCGGGATTTTGAGAAGTTCCCTGTTAGATCGTTGTTCAATGTGCTCTGCCTTGCCTCAGGTAGCAAAGCTTGGGAGAACGAACAAGTGATACCCAAACGTTAAGCCCTAAACCCCAAATCCTAACAGAATGACATCCTGAAATCCTATAAGCCCCGAACCCTAACAACTAACAAACACCGCCCCCCCCCCCTCCCCCTCAAAAAAAAACACACACACACACACAAACCCCTAAATCGAAACCCAGGAAGTAACGCAACTTCCGCTCGGCAGAGGATTTCAATGCTATCTGCTGTCCTGCTGCGCCTGCATGATGACCTCAGAGCCAGTGGAGAGATCGTAACCCCAAAGATCCAAACCCTCCCGCCTAGGGTTTAGCCCATGTACCCAATATTTAGGTCCCTTTAAAGGGGTTATATAGGGGATATATAAGGGTATATGGGGTCTAGGGTTTAGCCCTAAGGGTCCATGTACCCAATAATTAGGTACTTGGGTTTTGAGTAATAGTAATTATAGTTTGGTTTTGGGTAAGTATACGATAATTAGGTACTTGGACCCTTAGGGTTTAGGGTAAACTCTGCACCTGCGCAAGACAGCTTCTGAAAACAGAGACGCGGCTTGCTAACCTCTGGTTAGCAATGAATGAAGGAATGGATCCTTATAGCAATTGCGATGTAACCACAACCAATACAAAAGCTTCTATGTCCTTGTCCATCCTCCGTTCCCTACTGACTAAAAGCAACTTTGGGATCCTCGGGCTCTCAGCAACACGGACTACATGTGGGCTTTGGCCGTCATGCTTCAGAAAAACTAGCATGACATACGGCCAGAAACTAGTCGCGGAGGCTCTTGGAGAAGTAGAGTTCTATCAGATGGCCGATGATCAGTAAACAGGGGACTGCAAAGGAAGTCGGCAATTCTAACAAAGATGATTTGACATGTTTAATCCAAGACTCCTCCCAGTACCCTTAGTCACAGTCGGATTTCTAAGGTTCTTTGTACAGGCCTGTTCAGAGGGCAGTTCGAGGGTCTGGGATGTGAGCAGCAATCAATATGTCCCGCATAGTTAACGGACATGGGTTCCTAGTAGGGAGTATCTGAGGAACAATACTAAACTTTCGATGTCCGCCGCTAATGGCTCCTTGATAACCACAATAATGACAGCATGTAATGTAGCTCATTTGCACCTGCGAATACAAACAACGATTGCGGCCCCTGCTTGTCTTGTTCATTGGGCACCTTACCAGGAACGGCCTGTCAGGTACCTGGAAGACCAGGGTTTAGTGTTTGTTTTTTTGTTTTAAGGCCCCGGGTTTAGGGTTCAGGGTGCGGGTCTCAGGCTTTGGAGTTCAGGGTTAACGGTTCACTGTTCGGCAACAAGCCCTAGACCACGGATTCTGTGTTGTCCAGGTAAACCCTAAACCCTGAACCCTGCAGGTCAACCCGATACAATCACAAACAAAAAAGGCTCCAAACAAGGACCAAGTACAGGAGGAGCAAGTATAGGGCTTACACAAACTCACAACATCCCTTGACCCCTGAACGCTAAACCCAAGGCCTCTAACAGGCCATGTTTCATGTTGGGGGCGGGAGGTGGCAAACTTCAGGTTTGGGGCTTTAGGTCAGGATTTTGCGTGGACTGCCAAAAGTAAGCCCATCAGCAACCCAATGCAGTAGCCACCGGACAGTGGATTGGAACATGAGATTCCCCAATAACGCGTGGTGTGCTCCAAAATTTCTTCATATGGGTAGCGCGATTTTGGGGTCGTTGAAAAGCAAAGTTAACTTGTATTCTCTTATCTATAGAAAACATACCCCAATAAGGATATGATCTTCCTCTATATTGAGAACTTCAGGACCCCAGATACCCGAAACCCTAGAGACACGTACCCCCTCAGCTTCAGTGATTGCGAGCAAGCCTTTGGGAACAGAATCAACAATCTGGAATTGAGCGCCTGGGCGCGACTGTGGGCTCCAAATCTAGGCGGTTTAGGGTTTAGGATTCCTTGCATCCCTGGCGTTTCCCCTTAAGGGCCACAAGCCACATGTACAGACCCTAAACCCTAAACCCTGCCTAAACCCCAAAAGTATGTAAAATGATAGCCCTAAACCCCTAATAATAGCCATCAAGGCCATTATCTTACATACTTTTGGGGCCCAGGTAGACCCAAGTCTCATCCTAAGCTCCAACGAAAGCCCGAAAACTACACCCTCTAAGGTTTAGGGTTTAGGGTTTAGTGCAACCCGAATACAACGACTTCTCTCCTGTAGTAGAAGGCGCTATGAGGTTCCATGCTAGCTTCTCCTGTAGTAGGGGAAATTGTGGGGTTTCCTACTAGCTTCTCCGGTAATAGGAGGTGTTCTGGATTCAGGCTAGTTTTTGGGTGTGTGCGTGTGCGTTTGCGTGTTTATCTCTAGGAGAGCCTGGCGAGGGACCACCTCGGCGGGAACCGAGAATGCCAATGATGCCGTGGGCTCCGGGACGACAACCCCAAACCCTACAAGCATTAACCCCTAAACTCAACAAGTAACCCTAAGGGTCCATGTACCCAATAATTAGGTACTTGAGTTTTGGGTAATAGTAATTATAGTATTGGTTTTGGGTAAGTATATGATAATTAGGTACTTGGACCCTTAGGGTAATACTGTAAGGAAAACAAACACCTAAATTGCCTAAAACCATCTTAAACCCTGAGTGGTGCTCCGCACTCGCGGTGTAAGGGGGAGAAGTATGGTTATAAGTCCTACAAGCTGCAGCTGTGGAATTTATATCTGTATACTTCTGGATGGGGGGGGTCCACCCTCTATACTGCAAACCCCAACCCTAAACCCAAACTTTGTAAACTCTAGGCCCTTAACCTCATAAACTCCAACCACCAAGTTTTCCCAGCTGGGTTTACGGTTGCGTGCCTTAAGCCCTAGACCCTAAACCCTTATGAATTTGAACGGGGAGCTCGCTTCGCTTGTTCGGAGGCCGCTCGGGCCACCTTCGGCGCAATAGCTCGTTTCTTTGGGAACATGTAGGATTGATTACATGGGGGTGGGGTAGGGGGTGTTTTAATTTAGGGTTTAGGGATTCAGGTTTAGTGTGGGGTGGGGTAGAGGGTTTTAGAACTTAGGGTTTAAGGATTCAGGTTTAGGGATTAAGGTTTAGGGTGGGGTGGGGCATAGGGTTTTAGAGTTTAGGGATTGCGGGTTTAGGGTTCAGAGATTTCGGGTTTAGGGTTGAGGGTTTAGGTATAGATCGGAGTGCATAGGGACTTCCAGGATTGTATAGGGGTAGGTGGGGTATTGATCTCAGTACTGGAGAATCAAATGCAAAAGAAATTAGAGAAGAGAGTAGAACATGAAATGGAAGCTGGGGTTCAAAGGGACAGGGGTTTGGGGGTTTAGGGCTTCATGAGGTTTAGGGACTTCCCTAAACAGCCCCTAAATATGGAATTCATAGGGCCTTAGAATACCTACAATAGTTCTTTGGTGGGGATGCCCCTAATCCCTTTCCACCCTAAACCCTAAACCCTAAAAACCCTAACCCCTATAAACCCTAAACCCAATAAACCCAAAACCGTGCAAAGCCGCGCCTCCTCATGGTGGGCTGCTTCGGCAAGGTCATCCTCAGCCTCTCCTTAGCGTAGGGCCTTTCTTTTTTAAAGGGTTTAGGGTTGAGGGTTGAAGGTTTAGAATTTAGGGTTCAGGATTCGGGGTCTAAAGTTTTGGTTTTAAGGTTTAGGCTTGGGGATTTAGGGTTTTAAGAAGAGGCAGGTGCCCCCAACAGACGTGGAAGCTGTATAGCCCCTAAATCCTGAACTGGAAAGACTTTCAAGAGAAGAATTGGTTCTGCAGGGCCTCGTTGGGGCTTCAATTCTTGAGAGTCTTTGATTGAAAGTTTGAATGCCAACCGCCGAAAAGCTCAAGGTTTGCAGGCTGAGCCTAACCCTAAGGGTCCATGTACCCAATAATTAGGTACTTGGGTTTTGGGTAATAGTAATCTTAATACTGGTTTTGGGTAAGTACATGATTATTAGGTACTTGGACCCTTAGGGTAACAGGGGTTTAGGGTAGTTTAGTGTTCAGGGCTTGGGGTTTAAGGTGATGATTAGTTCCCTTGACTGCGACGTAAGTTGGCTTTTTGCCAGATGGTCGCCTCAATTCGAAGGCCCGTACCCCGAACCCTGAACCCCGCAACACACACACACACACACAAAAAAAAAATCGATCTCTTTGAGCTTTGGGCCGAAAACCAGAAAAAACCACCCTAAACCCTGAACCCCTAAACTCTCAAACCCTAAACCCCTAAACCCTAAACCCTATAAACCTTGATGTGATATCTCACAACTACTCTCTGGCTACATGCGCCGCGCCATGCAACCCGAATCCCTAAACCTAAATCACTGCAACCCATCCTAAACCCTACAGCCCTAGACTCTGCAACCTACAAGCCTACAAACCCCAAACCTTACAGCCTTACAACCCGAAAGCCTGAAACTTACAACCCCCGAAGACCCGAAACCCTACAACCCTAAACATGAACCTAATAAACCCTACAACCCTAGACATAAGCCCTGAACGGTAGTTTCCCTGAAGGGGGAACAAAATGTAGACCCCAAAGCACTATAATCCTCATTATAGGAACAACCCAAAACTACCCCTAATTTCCGGAAACCCTAAACCCTATATCCCCATGTATCGCCATATAACCCCTACATAACTCCTGTAAAGGGACCCATAAATACGGGAAAGCCTAACCCCTATACCCTATGTAACCCCTAACCCCTAAATCGTAAACCCTCAACCCTAAACCCTACACCCTAAACCCTTTATGACCCCTTTGAAGAGACCCTGATCTTGGAAAACCCCAGCATGGAAAGCAAGCGGCGGGCTGCGCGGGCGGCTCTTAGGTTTGCCTTTGCGTGGTCCAAGGTTTTTGAGATTTAGGATGTAGGCTTTAGGGTTCAGGACTTTGGGGTTGCAAGATTTAGGGTTTAGGGTTCAGGACTTTAGGGTTGTAGAGCTCTAGGGTTGTAATGTTGGACCTTTTTAACAAAAGCCCCCCCCCCCTTCCCGCCCCTTCCCCCCCGAACAATAAGGCCCAAAAAATTAAGAACTCTGAATAAGGGCCCCAGAAGTCTGTCTGAGGTAGTCAGGGTCTGGGGAGTGAATCATTAAGGATTTCTGAAGGCTCTGGGGATTATTTCCGACATGATTTCGGATTGCGTCCGTAAGGTTTTGGGATAGGGATTTTTTAGTAAAACTACTCAGCTTCAGATTCAAGATCTGGATATCTCTGGGCTGAGCTGGAAAAGATTTTATACGGGCTGCCTTTTAAAGTCCTTTCCTTTTGGCCTCAAAACCTGTATGGGCCCGCGGTGCACAGATGCAAGAGAGTCTCCAAACAATGGTAACTTTTCGAAGTCCAGGGTTCTGCCGGACTACCCCCTTTGGGGACATGATTGCGAATTGGCTTCGTAAAGTCTTAGACTACACCATAACTAATCGGCTTCATTAATCCAAGTTCAAGATTTGGTAACTATTTGAGTTCTGGATATCTCTGGGCTGAGCTGGGGAAAGGAATTTTCTAGGGCTGCCTTTCAAAATCCTTAATTGGGACCTCAAAATGTGCAGCTTCCCCTTTTTCTAGGCCCGAAAATCAAAACACATTAAAGAAGGTCTTCCAAATAATGGCCAGACTTTGAATAAGCGGCGGCGAAAACTCATTAAAGAAGGCTGTTGACTAAAGTCAGTCCAACATTAGAGCTTCGGGTGTTAGGATTCAGGGTTTGGGGGGTTTGGGGTTTCCATGAACATAGACCTCAACGTAATATTATTCTTCATTTAGGTGGCCCCCAAAAAGGGACCCCTCTTTTCCCACAAGCCCTCTATTCAATTGTGGGGCTATAGGGTTTAGCGGTTTAGCGTCCGATCGTTTGGGGTGTGGCGCTTGGAGTCGGGAATAATTTCGAGCGTTGGCTTTCACGGTCTAGAGCATGGCCATAGGGTCGTTCAAACACACAAGCCCTAAGGGTCCAAGTACCTAATAATCATATGCTTACCCAAAACTTGCACTATATTTACTATTACCCAACACCCAAGCACCTAATTATTGGGTACATGGACCATTTGGGAAGCGCCAGGTATGTGCGGACTTCCCAGTGCACGACTGTAGCACAGTGGAATGAGGTCCTTAAAGTGCTTACCTGAACCCCAAAGTATGTAGAATAATGACCTTTTGGCCTCTATTTACAGGTTTTGGGCTATCATTCTATCTACTTTTAGGGTTCAGGTATATGACATGCAACAATTAACCAGAATGTGCCAAAACGTTTTCCGCCGATCATCTTAAAGTACTGAGTTTAGGGGCTTAGGGTTTAAGATGCTTCACGGATAATGGCCCTGAACCCTGGGCTCTACACCCTGAACGCCAAGCATGGAGAACTACATGGAACAGAAAATGGAACATCAAATAGACCCTAAACCCGAAGCCCTAAACCCATGGAAAATGAAATGGACCCTGGAATTGTATGGAGGCAATTTCATAGGATAAAGGCTTGAGCAACAGGGCAAAGGCTTGAGCAACAGGTCCCCTACCTGAAGCAGATCCCTTAAAATCCCTGCCTATAAACACAATGGTTACAAACGTTGAGCTATTCAGAGCCCACCCTAGGGCGCCATGTTTAGGGCTTAGAATTTAGGGTTAAGGGTTTACCCTTAACCCTGAACCCTGAACCCTAAACCCGTTTAAACCCTAAACCCTCGATGGGGTAGGATCCTGGTCTGAACAGAAGGGAACACATGCGAGACAATTATTCCTTCTTTCTACATAGAGATCCCGGCTTTAGGCTTTAAGGGTTTAGGGTTTCGAGATCCCAAATACACAAAGTTTGAACTCAGGAGCCTTACCTTGACAATCAAGTACCCAAGCCCCATGCAGAACAATGGCCTTTCTACTGGGTTGCTGCGAAGGAACTTAAACTAAGTCACCACAAAGAGGGTAGATAGTGAGTAAGAGGGAATCCTTGTTATGTTCGTACCCTTAAACCGTAACCCTATAGACCCCTGTTATAGTAACTTGAATTCCGTAACCGCAACTCAGTAACAGCCTTCGGTAGAACCCCAGAACCCAAGGACCCAGGGTTTAGGGCGTACGGTTCCTAGTCGCTGCCTTGACGGCGCGCAACGCCCATGCCTTCGAAGAAGCCTTCCGGGCAACCCTAAACCCGAAAGCCCACACATCCTTAAGCCAAGCATTCCTCCCTACCACGTATTCGGAGCGAAGAGAGAGTAGCTGTAGTAGCGACAATAATGAAAATATACTACTAGTAGTAGTAGTAGTAGTAGTAGTAGCAACAGCAGCAGCTGCTGCTGCTGCTGCTGCTGTGGCGGTGGGGGAGGCGGCAGTGATGGTCCGGTGGCGGGGGGCGTTGCGGGGCGGTGATGGAAGAAGGTTTCTGAGAAGTTCTTGATGCGCAGAGGTTCTAGCAGCAAATGAAGAGGAGCCAGAGTTAGGGGTACTTGTCAAGCTTGAGCTTGGTCTTCACTGCTTAGGAGGTGCTTTTCGGGGGCCTGCAGCTTAGTGCGAACAGTGTGGGATGCGCTTGGAGTGCGGGAGGCCTGAGTACCGTACGTACGCAGCGCAAGCTTTGATCTTTACCGTACAGTACCTACCCTAAGCCCTAACCATAAGCCCTACAACAAGGGTTTCCAGCTGTAGGTCCTTCAAACCATTCCTGCAGTGGTTCAGGGGAAGGCAGGTGCATCTGGGATTCTCACAGGGAGGGGCGCCCTAGTTAAAAGTTGGGCAACATGCGGGTTGTAATAAGAAGGGTAGGTGCAGTAATAAGTCCTCTAAAAGGTAGCTCTGGGACTTACAAGTTACAAGTCTAGTTATGTAACTAGGAAGCCTCCACTCACTGCAAAGCTGGGGCTTTTCTTGCCCTAAACCCTAAATCCTATAAACCCTGAATCATAAACCCTAAATCCCTAAACCGCGAACCCTCAACCCTAAATCCTAAATCCCTAAATCCTGAACCCTCAACCCTAAACCCTTTAAACACTGGGATCCCATCTTCCACGGCCTTCTTGAAGTTCCAGACAGGGCCGCTGGGCACGCCGTCCCAATCTGCGGTAAATGGGAATTCAAACATAGGGTTTAGGGTTGATAGGGTTTATAGGGTTTATAGGGTTTAGGGGTGTAGGTACCATAGACCATGGTTATCTAAGGAATATGGAAACACAATGTTGGTAATTACTTAGGCCCGTATATTAAATGGGAATGCAAAAATGGATCCCTGCACAATTCCTCAGTAAACGCTCCAAAAGGCCTTCTACTCCCCCCTTTGTGCCTGGGGCCCGAAGAGCCCACCTCTTGGAGGAGAAACCCTACATGCCTTTTGTTGGGCTTCGCACAACGAGAGCATTCGAGAGCTTTGGGCTGTACTTGCAACTTATAGGCTTCTGATAAGGGGCATGATTAAGGCTTCGGGGCTGAGGGCTTAGGAGTATCGGGGTTTAGGGTTCAAGCGTCATGACGCCTTCAGGGTTGTGGGATGCCTGGGGTAAGAGTACAGCTCCAAGAGTGTACTTACCCATCCTGGTTAGTGACGGCTAGTGAAGATGTGATACATGCCCGTGAAGCCCCAAATGCAGACCTGCCACTGAACTCAATAGACAAACATCATGCTGCATCCTTCATCTACTTCTGTGTCGTTCCTGTATATGAGCAAGATGGTAGATTCCGGAATCTTGTGCCCAAAGCGCGAACAACATACAGTTCTCAAGGTCTGCACCTGGCAGCCCGGCAACATTAAAGACACCTGAAAGGCCTGTGTTGAGAGTTACACACCCAACTAGCGTGCGTCCACTGCTTCTGTACAGACAAGCCTGTGACATCTGCTTTCAACCTTCCCGTTACCAAACTTGGACATCAGGGCCCGTAGGCGGTCTGAGATGCATCCTCAAAACAATCTGGGCCGTGAAGCAAAAAGCACACAACCAAACAAACAACAACTTCCTAAACTCCAAAAGTATGTATAATAGCCCTAAACCCTTAATAATAGCCATAAAGGCCATTATTTTACATACTTTTGGGGCCCAGGTTGAAGGATCCTCAGTTCTTGGCAGACTCAAAGCTGTGCACCTTCAACCATGGAGCTCGGAGTGCTAAACTGGTTCTGTTAGTGGACAGTATTGCAGAGAAGAGGATGATATTCCTGTCGTTGGGTAGTAATGTGAAATCGAACTCACTTACACGAATTACGTCGATGACCCAGAAAGCTCTCCACCCGCTCTTTCCCAAAAGGTCAAGGTGCCGTTTTACAACCCTTAACCCTATACCCTAAACCCCAAATCCTTTACCCCCAGCCCTAAATCCTATACCCTATCCTTAGGGATCCAACTAGCCCTAAGTAGGTACCGTGTATGGAACCATTAGGCTGATAATCCCCCCCCCCCCTCACGCATCTGCCCCTATTGCACGATGAGGATCTGTATATGTGTGCTTCAAAGGAGCTTCTCTTTCTGCGCACCCCAACAGGGTTGAGGGTTTAGGGTTGGAGAGGTTTACGATTACCGACTGAGGTCCAGGGTATGAAGTTCCTCTAAGATCTTGTCCTCTCACATGAGCTGCAGTCAACATGTCCCGTCATGATTAATGGACAGGGGTTTCCATTGAGAAAGTATTAGGAACTAAACCCTCAACCCTAAACAACTAGACCAAACTTTGAAAAGTCGGGACCTCCAGGCCACCCTTCATGGTCTTTTGCCCTAATATTGGGTTTAGGGTTTAGGGTAGCTGAGCAAGCATACAAAACCTACCAAAACAGGCCCTAAATCCCAAAAACCTAAACCCCGAAATGGGCCCTAAACCCTAAACCTTAATGGGGCCCTGAATCCTAAACCCTAAACAGGCCCTATAGACCCTAAAGCCCTAAGCGGCCGCTAAATCCTATAAACTCTAAGCAGGCCGTAAACCCTAAACAGGCCCTAAATCCCGAACCCAGGATAAGCCCTTCACGGTTTGTTTTGAGGCAAGGCTTAGGGTTTAGGGGTTTAGGGTTTAGGGGTTTAGGGTTTAGGGCGCCTAGCTCCAGGGTGTTCTTCTTCTTCGCGGCCACACGGACGCTGGGCGGCATGGAGGATCCAAGATCCTCAAGGGGCTCAATTGTTGGAGGTGTAGGGGCTTGTTTTTGGGTAGAGGTTTCGGGGTTTTCGGATTTAGGAGTTCAGGGGTAGCCGACCTGTCGGAAAACAAAAGCTCAAGTTGTGCCGACATGCAATGTGCGTTCCCCTTTGAAGGTCCTACTTGTATAGAAAGAAAATAAATAAACAAACACACACACATATATATATATAAACAGATATATATATATATATCTGTAGATTCGTATGTATATTGCAAAGAGCTGGCGCACCCCAATTGGGGAAAGGCCGAAATTCTGGACTACAAGTTCTTGGTGGTAAGCCTTCAAGAGTCCATGTGCCTAATGTAGAATAGACCTGGGGCCATGCCAGATCGACATATGAGCTAAAGTCAAAAGTCCTACTTAACAACCCCTGTAGTGTAGGGTTTAGGGCCTAAACTCCCAGTATCCCCATGAATAATCCCTATAGTAGTCCCCGACAAAATTCCCTATATAACCGCCCTTAAGGAGTTCAGACTATAGCTCGTATACAGCTAAACGAGTTTTTAGACGGCTGGGAGCCTTTTTTTTGAACCTGCGTTCTCAGGAATGGCAACGCCGTGGCTACCCTGTTCAACGGCAACAGTTACCTGTGGGCCTCAAAAGTATGTAAAATAACGGCCGTTATGGCTTAATTAGGGGTTTAGGGCTATAATTATATATATTTTTGGGATTTATACCGTTGCGCCATTCCTGACTGTCTGAGAAGACCTCGAACCCTGAAGAAAGGCAAAACCTGCAACCCCAATTACCTACAGCTTGACAGGAATTACCCCGTAATTGATAGGTATAACCTCTAAAGCTGTAGGGAAGTGCTGTTACAGCTATGAACTTCTCTGAAACGTCGTCACTCCTCAAACCCTAAGCCCGAATCCCTAAACCCTGGACCTTATAGCAGAAAACCTACAGCAAAAAGAGAAGGTTAAGGGTTTCGGGCTTTGAGATCATGCCCTTATAGCCCTTGAATTATTATCGAATATGCACTGAGCCTCAATTCAGACATATAGGCCCCAACCTCCCAAATCTAATAAAACGTAATAAGCCCTAGACCCTGCTTCCATCCATGTTCAATGTGATTCTCATTATCAACAGACCATAAACCCTCAATCCTGAACCCCCCCCCCAAGTCTCGCACATTACCCTGAACCCCAACACCTTCCCTAAGGCCCCTAAGGCCCCTAAACCCAGATCCCTAAACTCTAAGCCCTAAACCCCAAACCCCTAAAACCTAAACCCTAAACCCCCAACCCAGAACCCTAAACCTTAAAAACCTTAAACCGAAACAAAAAAGAAACTATATAGCCCCATTATAGTAGTTTCTATTTTCTTTTCCATTATCCCTATATAACCCCAATGTAAACCTTAAAGCCTATACCCTAAACCCTAAACCCAAACCCTAAACCCTAAACCGTGTGGCGGCCTGCAACTTGTCCATGCCTTGGTTGTACTTTCCTTTGAGGCCTTGGTAGGTGTCGTAGGCATCCTGGC